ATCTGTATGGGTCTTTTTTTCTATACACAGTATGGCTCAAGGTGTTATCAGGATTCCGAATTACTAACACATCTAGAAAAGCTAAGGAATTGTTTGCCTCTAACTCCATTGTGAACTGAATTTTAGTATTTATAGAGTTAAGATGGTCTAAAAATGCAGTTACTTTATCTAAAGGTAGAATTGTGAAAGTGTCGTCTACGTACCGCTTGTAGAATCTTGGATTTATGGGAGAAGTAAGCAGGGCTTTCTCCTCAAAGTCTTCCATGAATATGTCGGCGACAATGGGAGATACAGGTGAGCCCATCGCCACACCATCTACTTGCTTGTAGAACTCCTCCTTCCACAATAGGTAGCCAGATGTAAGGCAGTGTCTGAGTAATACTGCATATTCTTACTTTTTTACTTCAAGCCTTTTTTTACTTTTTTACTTCAAGCCGCCGAAGAAGATTGGTCAGTTTTTACCATCAGTCAAGTGTAACGTCCCTCTGCAAGATGCAGGAGTTTACAAGCTTGATTGTGAATGTGGTCTCTCCTACATAGGACAAACTAAAAGATCAATTAAAACCCGCGTCAAAGAACATATAGCTGATGTGAAGAATCGACGCTCCGGGAAGTCTGCAGTCTGTGAACATGTACAGGATCGCCCCCCGTCACTACATCAGATTTGATAGACCACAAATCCTCGCTAAAGAACACCGATTCCTTCCAAGGATGATTCGCGAGGCTATTGAAATCAAAAAACATCCTAATTTCAATAGAGAAGATGGCTGGGTGCTACCATCTGCTTGGGATCCTATAATAAATAAAATTAAATCCCAACCCAAGCATACAACTGCAAGACTCCATGATACCATAAGTTCATACTGTGTAGATCGGAACAAAAGTTAAATTTTAATCTATGGTAACCGCGGTTAACTATGACAGCTGGACGTTGAACATCTCAGTCCTTCCCGTGACCATGGGTGCTGTAAAGCTCTCGAAACGTCGGGTAAAAAAGTTAAATATACGCGATAAATTCCGTAAAAATTAGTATTATTTCAACAGAGCAAGAAGTTAAGGTACTCGCAAATAGATGGCGCTAATTGTATTTAGCAGCAGAATAATACCTTTGTGCTTAGGTCTAAAGATCAAACTGTTGGTACACGTATTTGTCGTTATACGAATTTAAAAGTAAAGCAGTGTTCACTGATGTGTATCAGTTTTGTTTGAGACGGCTCTTTGCAACATTTAATTGTTTACAGTCTAACTGAGTAAAAATGCCTTTTAGTTAACAAAGTCGGAAAAGATTATGCACTGGTTAAATTCGATAAATATTTCACTTAGGTTCAACTGGTATAGTCACAAACACTGATTCACTCTCTTCGTAGTATATTTAATTTATTTTGATCACTTTTGAGCTAATTTCTTATCTTAAACTTTTTTTAAACGAATTCTTTATGGAGCTAATGTTTACTTTAGTGCGCCCTCTCGCGACACATAAGATAATCTTTGTATTCGGTTGCCGCATCTTTTGTGCCTTGTAGATCGTAGGATTATTATGAATTGCCTCCAAACAAAGATCTTTGAAAGAAATCCATTGCATGAAGCTGTCCGATAATTCAGAAACTTCTATTTTCGGCGCAGATTTTTCACAGTGATTATTCGACCAAATTTTTGTATTAAGCTGACGTCGTAGCTCATCGTATTTCCCCTCCATAGTAATAAGCAAGTTATAATATAGAAGATTGGAGCCTTTGAGTTTTTCTTCCAACTCCCAGTGCTGTTTATCGATAACTTCTCACTTGGACTTCAAAATTGATAGATTGTCTTGTAGTTCCCATCTCTCAGTTATAGTTTGAATATCGATTTTAGACGTGACGCGATCGAGAGCTTTAAAGTTACATTCTTGCTGCTCTAAGAGCGTTCTGACGCCTACGTCGGTGGTGCCGTCCAGCATCCCGGCTTGATCAAAATGCACAGACTTGTAGCAGTAAGTGTTGCGTACTTTGTAAAGTAGATTCATAAAGCTCCTTATTTTTGTTAAAAATATTCCCTGTGAAGTAGTCGATGTTTTTATCCTCAATAGTTTCCACAATAATTTTGTGGCGCTGCTCAAAGTCGATCCATTGATCTTCAAGGAATTGGATTCGACTTAGTAAGTACTCTTCAGTTTTTCTACTCGCTCCATCCTTCGTGTAGTTCGAGCAGAAGGATTTGATGTTATTGAAGCATTGTAGTTTAAGATATAACATATTAGTGATGTAGTTTTTCTTGATACACTAAGTTTGTAGTAAAGTTAGTGAATTAGCTGACCCGTAGTTTACGGTGACGCTCGGTGACAGTCGTTTCGGGTTGACCCGATCCGCAACACCAGTTGAGTTGTAGTTATGTAGTTATATTAATCCCGTAGTTCGCGGCAATAAGTAAGTTGAAGTAGATTATCTCTTGGACTATCCCGCGGTTTACGGCGACAGGTGAGTTAGTTTAGTTAGCTCGTAGACTGGCTTGTACTTACGACAGTCGTGGCGAGACGCTCTGGTTTTCGAACCTGGTTAACGGGAAACAACAACCCGAAGGCAACAAATTTATTCGCAGCCTGCATGTTTCCAATCTTCGCAAATCGAAACTTTAGTAAATAGTACCAGCTTCGAATTTCTCCGTCTTGAAAATGATTGTGGTGAGAGTACGAGTGTAATTGCCCCTGAGCGATATAATATGCGCCTTCTCAATTCACCGGTGAGACCTGCTTCTGGGAGGCTGATGAACTGATCGCTACCGCAAAGAGACAAATAACACTAAATACCCTTTTTTTGAAGGACAATAAAATGTATGGCTTTACTCGAAGGACCATAAAATGTATGGTTTGTAAGGCCACACACTTAAGAAGTAGAGTTGTAGTTTGTTGATGAGCACGTCAAAAGAAAAAGATCACCAAAGTTAAAAGTGTAATTAAAAAGTAAAATAGTTAATAAAGTTAGAGTGGCAAATCTTTCCTTGAGTAGTTGGTGTTTCGAAGGACGGTTGTTGACGTACTGCCGATCGTCAGCTTGCAATTAAATGGTAAATTTAAATACACGCGACGTCCGGCTAAAGTAGGTTGCAATGTTTACTAAATAAAAATGTGTGGTGTAACCATACAGTATAATTCTTTTAATCTTAAAAACTGTTGTCATCACTTTCTTCTGATGAACTTTCTGCAGACACGTGAATAATAAATTGTGCTAACATATTTTCAACATTATTGTCCACTTCGTACATTTTCGTTTCGATCTTGGTTATCACGTGATTGACACACGACGATTTTTGTTTATGCACTTCAGCTACTCCTTGTAACAAAAGAGTTCGAAATTCATCAATTTTATAAATTTTGTTATTTGCTGCCACGCAGCCCTTCACTTGATCCCAAGCAAGCTCAACTGGGTTGACTCACAGCGATACGGTGGCAAACGTGTGACGCGACGATTTGTGGATTTAGCCATCTCGTCTATGACAAATTTTCAAAGCGATCTTTGTTTTGATTAACTAAATCCAAAAGTTGTAGCTTTAATATTGATTCGTCACAAACAATATTTTTCGACCATAGCCATTCAATTAATGTCATGTTTGCGAGATGAAGTTGTAGGTGCTTTGTCAAGTTTTCGAAAATGATACGAAGCATTATCTAAAACAATAACTGAATTCTCATCCCATTTAGGTAAAACGTCTTGGAACCGATTTCAAACACTTTGGCATCCATATACTGATGAATCCTCCAAATCCTACAAACCCATTAATACTGCCGATATGTACAATTATAAGCCGCTTGCTTTTTCTTGCAAAAGCATCCGTCAGTGTAATAACGTGTGTGGCGGCGCTGTCGTCGCGCCGCAAGCGAAACACACCGAAGCCTAAATCACGCTATCAAAATTCCGAATCATAAAAAGTATATATAGAACATCTCCGAACTAACACATGGAGCGTTGGCCGCTCCCCGGGCAGAACACCTTGCCCGGCGGGAGATCTCCCCTTTTCTTTTTACGGCCACAGTGGTGACCCCGACGTGATTGTGCATTTTTATAGGGTATGTGCAGATTTATTTATAAAAAGAAATATAAAAAAGGAAATACAAAATTAAACATAATAGGTATATTACCTGACGGATTTTTCAATCCTGTTGATAGCTTATCTAAAAATGCAGATTTCGATGTCGGTGTATTGTCAACCCAGACTTTTGTATATGTATTACCAGCATTTACCCACGTCTCATCTTAATAATATATAGTTATATAAGTTCGTTTTGATGGCTGCCTTTACTTCGTCTAAATATTTGCGTCGATATAAAACTATATCTATATTCTCTATTTAACACTTTCTACCTCTTTTATTATAGGAAAAACCCTATTTTTAGTGCTTTGTTTATTTTTTGTGATCTTGACGTAGATGGGAAGCCAGAATCTTCCTTTATGATGATGATTGATGATTTTGGATTTTGTCTAATGTAGGCATTTTATTTTGAAAATAATATTTTCAAAATGAAATGTGAAATGCGCTTTTCGTACAATCATCTTATTTGTTAATAACACTCAAGCGGTTTCTTTTCTTTTTCGGTGATTTTGGTGATCCACCTGATTTCATGCTTCCAATAACCTAATAAATAAAACACATCAAATAATATCTATAATATAATATAATTAATTTATAATTTGAAATGGCTTATCGCTGGGATCATTTAATGAAACATTACAACGTATGTGCTATGGTATACTAACTTGAAGATATACTCGTATATATACAAAATTAATAAAATCCTAGTGGCTTTATGATCTACTTGCATTGTATGTCAACCTCGCGATTTGCCCAGCGGCATCAAGTATTGAAAAGGTGAACTGCCATACCTTAACACGTATTAGTAGTACCCACTAAATTAAATGGCGTGGTGGATCTTTTGACGTCGCCACGGATTTATATGCACCTAATCAAATGGTGGTATACACTTAGAATGCGATAGCAGCGTGTGTTGCATGGATTGGTTGGTGTGGCAGGGCGTGGCAGAGGCCGTGGCATCGGGCGTGCGCGAGGACGAGGTGTGCTACCGCGCCGCCTTCAGCAAGCACGAGCTGCGCCGCCTGCTCGCCATGTACCCGGCGCACGAAGGTACCGCTACTCGGATCGCTGCGGCTGATTGCGACCCAAACCTAATAGCTCGCTTTTACATTCACGCTTGGCTACTGCCATGGTTTTCTATCAAGGTTAGCCAAGGCAGGTGTAACATGATAATAGAATCAATGTCAAGTTACGAGGGTGTCACGTTGCTCGAAATGATATCGCATTTCCGTTTATTTTTACAGTTTTCTATTAGCATTCACGATTGAGAAATGTCAACTTGGCTAACCGCGTCGATGTAACCTTATGTGAAGCTGCCGCCCGTTGCCGGTATGAGTATTTTACTTGTGACGTCATTGAGATGGCTATACTGCCATCTATCTGTGATTATTTCGCCGTTATACATTGAGAGACTATGTACAGCAAATGTTTATTTTTGTGACGTTTTTGTTGGACGAGTTCGTTACTGTCGATATCGTACTCGTACTTATTTATCTAAGTAGCAGGTTCCAGTGCGAGCACTGCCGTGTTCCGGTCTGGAGGGTGCAGAGAACTAGTATAATACAGGCTTTCTATCTTCTTTTTCTTTTAAGAAAAGGGGATAATCGAATATGCCGCTCACCTGATGTTAAGTGTCAAGAGGTTGCAGGTGTGTTGCCGACCTTTTAATAAGGAATCAACTCGTTCTTGAAGGTTTTTAAGTCGTATAGTTCTAAAAAATTGCCGGTGGTAAATAATTCGATAAAGATGTTATGCAAGGAAGAAAACTCCTAGTAAAACGCACAGTAGTGGATCATCAAGCATCCAGATGGTTTGCACAGTATTGCGAGATTCTTAGCGATGTGCGTTAGTGGAATTTGGCGGCTGGAATTATCCCATCACCTGATCACTTCTTTTGAGCGTTCTCCGTGGTAAATGCGATAGAAAAAGGGATGCAACATATATCGTCCTAGTCCTCAGAGGTGACAACGCATTTATGTTCTTCTTTGTTTGAAGTAGCTGGCAGGTGTCCACAAGCTGCAGTATCCACTCGACACCGGGCGGGTTGCAAGTTTAGTTTGTACCATTATAAGCCAGCGCGTGACCACTAGCTCTCCTGGTGGCAAGTGGTGGCAAGTGGTGGTGCAGCGGATGATGATAAAGCACACTGACTTCGCTTAACAAATAGTTATTCACTGTTGCCTTAAGGACACCTATGTTGTAATCGGTTGTAAAGACAGGTGCTGACAGATTGTTCCACTCCTTTACTGTACGCATTATGAACGACGAAGCAAGCCTTTTAGTTCAAACATTTGATTGTGAGTTCAGTTTTATAGAAGTAAAAAGGGTGTGTGTATGTGAAACAGTGCGCAAATCACTGCACCGGCTGTACCGCACGGTGGAGAAGCACCTGAGCGAGGAGGGCGGGCTGCTGCAGGTGGTGTGGCGCGCCATGCAGGAGGAGTTCATCGCGCAGCACGTCGCGCTGCAGGTATACACGCACCCCCCCTCCCCACTCACACTCACACACACGCGCACATCCGCGCACGCGCGCACGCACGCAGCACGCACCGATACATCGCAGGGTGTCGAATAATGCCCCTTTTTAGTATTACAAGCTAAAACGGAGATCAAACGATACGATGCGAAAGACAGTAGAAACGCAGTACCAGCTGTGTCAAAACATTTTTACGAACGCATTTTTAAACAATGCCAGTTACTTACATTCAGTTACAAGCTCCACTAATATAATAATCATCTTATAAAATCTATAGGGTTTATTTCACTAACGGTATCGTTAATTAAAAACAAATAAAAAATTTGATATTTGTGTTTTTACTTATCAGGGAAATTTCTCGCCTATTCCGATTTTAGGTCGAGATTTCATGACTAAATTCTATATAAATTTATATAATTTACATGTTTTTAAATGATAAAAATTTTTGTACTTATCAAATAAATATGCTAAGGTTTTTTCGGACAAATTAAGTACCGTTTAAAATTATAAATTAAATTATAATTAAAATCAAATACTAAACCAATGTTTTTAAAGCACGGCCCGCGCCGTTTGCACTACAATCTAAAATTAGATGACGAGTTAACCTATTAGAATTACATTGAACCATACCAATTTTACGACTTCTATTTTTATAATAATATTTTTCCCAGTATTAAAAAATAACGATAAGATTAGATTTAGTGGCGATTACCCGGTGACATTAAATAAAATTCTGCATGAACACAAACATACATCAATACATACAATCGGAAAACTTTTTTCCAACTATACAACAGACAACACTTTACTAAGCTACATTTATCTATGGCCTACTTGCAATTATTATTATCAGAAGGATCACAACTTCTGACCACGATAAATACACACGGAAGGTTGTTTGAATACAAGCGGCAAGTTTTTGGATTGTCTTCGACACCGGCCATTTTTCAGAAAACTATGGAAAATTTATTAGCAGGAATTTAACGCGTATGTATATTTTTAGATAATTTATTAATAACAGAGCCCTGAAAAACAACGCAACGGTCAGAGACGACATGGAAGAAACTACAAAACGTAGATCCTACAGTTCCGTCAGTTGAATACTTAGGATACGTTATAGATAAAATTTATAGATAAAATCGGATGAGAAATTTTAATCTATAATTAACGCTAAGCCACATCAGAATTTTTCCGAAACTAAATAGTTTGCATGTATAGGATATTAAATCAATTATATAAACTGTTCAAAACCAACGTTCCATGGGAATAGTCAATAGAACAACAAAAACATATGATATTATCATTGAGCTATTATGTACTACGTACTAGAGGAGACACTGCATTCAGCTACTCTGTTCCACTCAACTGCGGTGCATGCACTGCACTTTAATCAGTCACTCGCTAGGCGCTTGTAGAGTTGTCACGTGTTGTGTTGATTTAAAAAAAATCTCTTGATAAAAATATGCCGTCTTGTGTACTTAGATATAGCACAAATAATTCAAGAAATGTCAGTAAAAACCAAGGAATTACTTTTCATCGGTTAATAAGATACTTATTCAATAAAAAAGTATTATAAATTAATAATAAAGCAAATTATTCCTAAGACGCCATCTCGTATCATTGAATATAGATTATGAAATTAATATATTCAGATGCGACATTTCTGTGGGTACTTAAGTTTAGGACGAATATATTATTATACTACACATTTTTTTTGTAGAAACATATAAGTTATTATAATTAAGCTAAATTTTTCATGTTTAAATCTGCTTATTATTCTTTTATTTTATTTTTAGGTTTCCACTTCAAAGTCAAAGTGGAATAAATTCGTCCATTTTTAACTCTCGCGTGCCCAGCATTTATGAACGATTATTTACAACATTTATGATTCTAATTTAAATAAATATATTTGTAATTTAAATTTTATGTTAATAAGTTTTGTTAAAGATACATTTAGTACGTTTTTTTATATTTGACATAGATACCTTTTAAAATATTCAGATAACAATATCATCAAAATGTAATTCTGACATAATATTATGTAATATTATATTAAATTAGCACATATACAAAATAAAAAACAATTTAAAAAATTGTAAGTACTCGATATAATTAACAATGCAATATAAATAAACAATTATTACATACTGACCATTCTACTTACGTATAATCTATAATAACAAAAACTGACCGCGCAAGCGCAAAGCGCGTTTATACCAACTGCGCATGCGCGACTCTACTATTACCGCGCATGCGCGAAGACATAGAAGTAGCGCACAATTTTTGTTTGGAATAGCTTCTCTAGTACGTAGTACATTATAACTCAATGGATATTATTAAAAAAGAGTTGCATCAAATCGAGTTCTCGCTCATTACGACCCGCAGTCAAAAACAATCCTAACGTAACGTAGACGCTAGGCCAGAAGGCAAGGGTTAGGTGCAATATTGGTAACAATTTCAACCAAATCAAAGAACGAGTAGTCACGTACACGTCGAGAGCATTAACTAAATGCGAGATGGCATACTCGATATTGCAAAAGAGGCTACTGCAATTATTTTCGGTATTAAAAAATTTCACCAATATTTATACGACAGGTCGGATCCTTTTAGTTTGAGAACGAATCATAAACAGTGGCGAAGCTTCTATAAAAGCCGCAAAGCCGGGCTTGCCTTATTAAAACTGAATCAATCAATAATATCAACTAATAAAATAACTCATAAACTGTTTCAAATTATTTCAATTTTCCCGCGCACTCCACTGTTTGACACATGTCGACCGATGACCTCGTATTGCCTTTGCGATGCTCACAGAGTACCTTTGTATAAAGCAATACTGCTTCTGTCATAAAAAGTGAGTTTAATAGAGCGATTAGTTGTCTCCCTCGCTCGCGTGGGCTTTTTACGGTTCTTTCGAGAAGACGATCACTCTCTTTCTAACCTTTGGCAAAATATTCTATAATTAAATATAACTACGAAATGTTTATATAGCAATTACTATTGAGCCACAAGCCTGGTTTTGCCATGAAGTTGTTTCACAAAATTCAAAAATCACGCATCACAGGCATGCCGACCTAATTAGTGCATGCCCATAAAGTATGACATTGACAGGTACTGTGTGTCTGTACTGCTAAGAAATTCAGGACTTCATAGGCGTGATTTTTACTGACAGCTGTCGCAGAGATCAAGCTATCTTTTATGAACTATAGGAGTGCATTAGCGACTAGCGAATGGGGTGCGGGCCATTCGTGTGCAAGTTCACTTCACATTTTAATGTTTATGTTTTCTTTTGTTGTGTTTGTTAAAAATTTATACTTTTTCAAAGATTTTCAGTGAAAATGGGAGGATAATAGTGTTCATTGTGATGAATATAAGTGTGTTTAAGTGCTAATCGGCGAGGAAAAGTAAGATGTTTAAAAATGAAATTTAATATTCAATAAAAATTTCTTCATACTTTAAATATAGGTACAGGACTCTTTAGTATTAAAGTTTAATTAAGTTAGGCGTATTATATTAAAGGTTTAATAACACAATATTTATATTACCATACGAATTAAAAATATCAATTTGAACACCAGCATAAAATATGAGACACCTAGGTTTAATTTTATAGGAAATAAGTGTTACAATCTTTTTTTAACGTGAAGCCCAAATTTTAATGAAATAAATCAAAAGAATACAGAAGAATGTATTGAGATTTTTAAAGAATACTCCCTTTAGTTATTTCCAATATATAAAATTTTAATAGCGCCATCTACTTAAGGACGCGTTTGCAAATCAACCAAAATTAGGGTGTTTTTCGGTAGATTTTGTGACAAAACTAAACTAAATCAAATATAAGTAAAAACTACCATGATTGGTTTTTCATCTGCAAACGTATGTAACTCTTTTGTTGAAAATAGTAGTTTTTTATATTGTGAAAACGAACTTTCGTTGCCATTTTCTACAAAATTAACGATACCGGCTTGTGTTTCGGTACATGTTTTGGTCTATTATCAACATATTTAAAAAATTTAAAAAATACTATATGATGACAGACATATTCAATTAAAAAACCCTGTGTTTATTTTTTATCAAAATGTCACAAACAGTCGTAGAAAAAATAAAAACTGATGCACATTTTTTCACAAATTTTGCTAATACGGATGAATCATAATCTATTGCAATAAGAGATAGTGCGCACGGGTAACTTTTGTCACCGTGACTCTTTCGTCACTCTTATCAAGTCTATGGACATGTATGGAGATGCGCGCATGTTACGACGTGACAAATGGGTGACACTTTTGTACGCCGACCGTCGAACAAGCCCGTGACGAAACTGTCACCGTGCCGTTAGGTTTTCATAGCAGCGCGCGCACGGGTGACAAAATTGTCACTCCACGTGCGTCGTTCGTTCGCATTTGCATTTCGACTATCGACTTTGGCGCACGCAAAATGGCATCATCAAATACGCAAAACGTAATTCGTGATGATGATATTGACAATGATGTCCTTATAGAAGAAGTGGAAAAGAGACCTGCTCTTTATGACAAAAAGCTGAAAGAGTATTCAGATATTTCAAAATTAAGGCATGGGAAGAAATAAGTAGAACAATATTTTCCAATCCTTGGAGTAACTTGTCGCAACAAGAAAAAACAGAAGCTGGTGAGTTTCATATTTTTATTTCTAGTAAGTATATTACTTGTCATTGTATTACATTTATGTCATACAATTATTATTCAGGTTGGTATTGGGATCGTGATTCAAACTTATTTTTTTCTAACTCGGTAAATGATTTCAATTTCAGGTATAAAAATGGTTTTCAATTATTTTTAGGCAATTAGGCAAGTCTAATTTTAGTCTGTTGCTACACGACCCCGATGCCACCATGTATTACTTAGATACATAGCTAAAACAAAAGTTGCACATCGGAAATAGTAAGTAGGTATTACCTACATATAGTTGTTTAGTATTTTAGTCATCACTCTGTGGCATTACCCCCACTATAGAACTAGTTG